ACCAGTCTGCATTCCCACCAGCAGTGGAGAAGAGTTCCTATTTCTCCATAGCCTCGCCAGCATTTGTTATTGTTTGATTTCTTAATGCTAGCCATTCTTACTGGGGTAAGGTGGAATCTCAGTGCTGTTTTAATTTGCATTTCTCGAATGACTAATGATGTTGAACATTTTCTCATATATTTATTTGCCATAGAATTTTTTTTTGAGGAACTTCTATATAGTTTTCTTTGACTACACTAATTTAATTTACATTTCCACCAACAATATACAAGAGTCCCCCTTTTTCTACATCCTTATCAACTACTGTTACTTTTCTTACTTTTGGTAAAAGACATTCTAAGAGGTATAAGGTGATATTTCATTGTAATTTTAGTTGACATTTTTTCTTTTTCATTGTTCACTTTCATATTATCCATTGCACCGTGGCAAAAGCCACCAAGGAAATCTTTATCACTGGGCACCATGAGCATACATTTCATCTGTCTTAGTTACTTTTCTCATTGCTGAGACAAAATATTCAAGGCTCAAAATTAAAGGAGGAAAGGTTGATTGTAGCTCACAGTTTGTAGAGGCTTCAGGTCATAGCAGCTGGCTCCAAGGCAGGTGGCATGGCAGAGGAGCACAGCAGATGAGAAGTAATTCATGGCAGGCAAAAGGCAGCAAAGCAGTGAAGTAGTGAAGCAGTGAAACAGCAGAAGCAGCAGTAAGCCTGCCTCTCCCTTTTTCCCCTTCTAGGCTATAAACCTTTTGACTAGTGCCACCCATACCCGTGGTGGGGTACCCTTAATCCCAGCATCACACAATCTAGATTGAGCCACCTTTGAAAAAGCCCCACCTAGGACCACATGAGGCTTTGGGGGGACATCTAGGTGCAAGCCATAACACTATTATTCACCTTACTGAGCTTTTTAGTAGTAATTATTTATTTACTCATTCATTCCTTTGGTACCCTACCACCTAATGTCCATGGTACTGTCACCTCTCTCACTCTCTCTGGCTTAGTCCCTGTGCATGTTCCTGACTTTACCCAGCCCTTAAACTGACTTTAATGAACCCCAAATTTCTGTCCTAAGGTCTCTGTCCAAATTATTCTATGCACTTTCCCTGGTTTATCTTCTCCATTGTTTAGCTAACTAGCTCCATATACTTGCAAAGTAATATTTTTAAAATAAAAGTTTGAGAGTATTTCTTTCTTGATTAATCCCATCACTGCTAACTACAGGAAAAGTTGAAATTTCTTATTGTAACTTATAAGGTCCTCCTTGCTCTTGAAGCAACAAGCTATTTTTTAAATGAATGTTTGTTCAGTGAGTGAGTGGATGACTCACAGACCTGTGTCTCAACCCATGAACTTTTCCTTGAGCTCTAAATTTGTGAACTTCATGCTTGATAAAGAGCTTCAGTTGATGTCAATGAGTCTTTGATTGACCAGTATTGCATGTCTATATCTGTTTTCATGAGAA